GTAGTAAAACCTGCATAGAGGCCAGGCATGGTGGCTCACGCCTGTAATCCCAGCACTTTGGGAGGCCAAGACGGGAGGATTATTTCAGGTCAGGAGTTCGAGACCAGCCTGGCCAACATAGTGAAACCCTGTCTCTATTAAAAATACAAAAATTAGCCGGGCATGGTGGCGGGCACCTATAATCCCTGCTACTCCAGAGGCTGAGGCATGAGAATCACTTGAACCTAAGAGGCAGAGATTGCAGTGAGCCAAGATTGCACCATTGCATACCAGCCTGGGCAATAGAATGAGACTCAGTCTCAAAAAAAAAAAAAAAAAAAAAAAAAAAAACCAACAACCCTGCATAGCCTAATTATTCTGTGAGCCCAGAATGTTCCTGAATAGCGACCACGGATTTGTTTTGCTCACTCCTGGGCAAGCTGCAAGTGGTGACTGTGGCCTCAGCAGAGGGCAAGGGCCCATTTGACTTTATACGGGACAGAATTTGGAGGTGGGAATCTGTCTTCAGCCCCCTCCTCTACGCCTGCTTTCCTTCTAGATGTCTTCCCTAGGGGCATCCTCTGCCCCTGCCTTCTGCTCTTCCACTCTCCCCATTTTACAGAGGAGGAAGCTGAGACTCCGGGAGGTTGAGCAGCCTGCTTGGGGCCATGGGGTTGTCACGTGAGGGAGCTGGGATTGGAGGTCAGGTCTGTCAGACCCTTTCTCCATTCCACCACTCTCCAGATTCTTGAGGCCCAGCATGCCGTGGTGATGTGAGAGGCCCATAGCTCTCAGGGGCACATTTAACTGGATTGAAAAGTACCCCAGGCACCTGTCCCCTGGGTCTCACTTTCTCTCGTTACAGCTTCTCCAGACAGATCTGCAGGGTGGTCAGCTGTGATGTGGGCAGGAACCTGGGCTTCAGCGTCTCTTCTGTGATATCAGCTTCCACGCCCCCATGACTGTGCATCCACCCCTGGCCTTAGTGTGTGTTTCTGCTTCTCCAGCGTGAGTGAGCCCCTCCTGGGAGGGAGCCCTTAGCCGACCAGGGAGGTGGGGGGCTTTTCAAGGGGGAACTGCTCCCAGGCTCAGCGCAGCTGCTCTGCCAAGACACAGGAAGCTCTTCCTGAAAGCTTCCCACGCAAGGTCAGCGCTCAGCCCATCTGGCGCAGTGCAGGAAGGGGAGAAGCCAAATTGTGTTCTCTGCTTTGTTTTTTTGTATGAGGGTATGAGTGCATCAGAGACTGTGCTGGGGAGAGGAAGGAGCACAGGCTTTGCAGTTGGACAGATGCAGCCTTGAGTTCCAGCCCTGCTATCTGACTCATTGCTGCTGCTGCTGCCTTTTTTTTTTTTTTTTTTTTTCTGAGCAGTAGTTCTCAGTAGTTCTCTTTTCTTTCTTTTTTTTTTTTTTTGAGATGGAGTCTTGCTTCTTTGCCCAGGCTGGAGTGCAACGGGCCAACCTCAGCTCACTGCAACCTCTGCCTCCCTGGTTCAAGCAATTCTCCTGCCTCAGCCTCCCAAGTAGCTGGGATTACAGGCATTTGCCACCATGCCCAGCTAATTTTTGTATTTTTAGTAGAGACAGGGTTTCACTGTGGTTAGCCAGGCTGGTATCGAACTCCTGACCTCAAGTAATCTGCCCGCCTTGGCCTCCCAAAGTGCTGGGATTATAGGCGTGAGCCACTGCGCCTGGCCATCTGAGCAGTAGTTTTCAAATTTATAAAATGGAGGTGCTGATAATAGCATCTACATCACAGGGTTGCTATGAGGTCTAGAGACAGTGTATACAGGTTCTGACCCACAGAGACTGAGAGAAGTCAGCCTTCCTTGACTCTGTGCTCTGGTGGTCCTTTGAATACCCCCTCCATCATCATGCAAATTATTAGTAATCCATAAAGCAATGCTATAGTCAATCAATAACACCTATATATGCTAAGCACCCTGCTGTTTTATGAGAATGGTTTGTTTCCTCTACAACCTAATTTTTTTTTTTTGAGATGGAGTCTCGCTCTGTCGCCCAGTATGGAGTGTAGTGGCACCATCTCCGCTCACTGCAAGCTCTGCCTCCTGGGTTCACACCATTCTCCTGCCTCAGCCTCCTGAGTAGCCGGGACTACAGATGCCCACCACCACACCTGGCTAATTTTTTTGTACTTTTAGTAGAGACGGGGTTTTCCTGTGTTAGCCAGGATGGTCTCGATCTCCTGAGCTCACGATCTGCCCGCCCTGGCCTCCCAAAGTGCTGCAATTACAGGCGTGAGCCACCACGCCTGGCCTCTCTACAACCTAATTTTAATGTACATCCTTTAGAGTCTCCATTTTACAGATGAGAAATTGAGGCTCAGAGACATTATACAACCTTCATAGGTTTATTGGTGAATGGTTAAACTTGAGCCTGGGTCTGTGCCAATGTTCATCTTACTCCTCAGCCTGAGTTCTTAGACACCACAAAGTATGCCCAAGAGGTAAGACAAGCCACTGTTTCCTAGGTTTGTCCCTTTTCCCGTTTGTATCTCTGTCTGCCCTTCTCCTTTGCATCACTTCTTCCCACCCTTTTCTGATTTTCTTCTTTTATTCAGCATAATAATAATCAAAGCTGCCCTTCAAGAACGTCAGTTTCAAATGTATCGTGGCAGAGTCCAGGAAACAATATTGTGTAACACACTACCTTAAAACCTAAAGGCTTAAAACCACATGTATTTTATTGGCTCACAATTCCGTGGTTTGGCGATTTGGGCTGGGTTCAGCTGGGCAGTTCCTCCATCAGTCTCTCCAGGTCTTATGTAGCTGCAGTGGGCTGAATGCTTCACAGGGGCTGGGAGGTCTAGCACAGCTCACTCACATGTCTGGAGGTGGCAGCTTGCTGGCCAGGGTGCTCAGTTCTCTTCCACACGGCCTCCTCATGAGGCTAGCTTGGGCTGAAGAGGGGGAAAGTGAAAGCAGCATGGCTTCTTGAGGCCTAGGCTTGGAATTTGTACAGTGTCACTGTGACACATCCTATTGGTCAAAGCAAGTTACAAGATCCATCCACATTCAAGGGGTGAATAAATTCCACCTCTTCTTGGGAAAAGTGTCAAATAATTGATGGCCATTTTTAGTCTACCATGCTAAGTGCAGCCCCTTCCCCCAAAGTTATCCTTAATGCAGTCCCTTTGTGCCTCCACTCCCTTCTTTTAATTCCCATGCTCTTCTTATCCTTGTAATAATAAGCTCTCACTTCACATCACCCAAAGCTTCGTTCATTCACTGGACAAATACTTATTGTGTGCCAGGACCTATTAGTGAACAAAACAAAGCCCTTGCTCTAATGAATCTAAGATTCTAGTGGAGAGACAGACAATCAAGAAATAAACAAGAACACAGTGTTGGGCCATGGTGAACAATAGGTGCTTTGGAGAACAACAGAACAGACTAAGTGTGGACTGTGTGTGAGAGGATGGCAGGGCAATGGGTGGTTCCTATTATATACAGAGTGGTCGGCTGGTATCAATGAGGTGACATAAAAGCAGGATCTTGAACGAAGTGAGGAGCAAGAAGTTCCAGACAGAGCAAACAGCACGCACAGAGGCCTGAGGCTGGCATGGAGAGGCAATTCCTTACAAGTTTATATGTAGTAAAAAGTAACAAAACCCAGAAAAACACCAACCTTAATACATCTCATTAAAGAACAAAAAACCCCAAAACATTTAAATATGGTAAAATCTTGATAAGCAAAAGCTTTTTTACTTGATTTTTACTTGATTTATAGCTCCTAATGTAAAGACGTGTGTCACCTCTCTGGGCTTCAGGGTGTTCACCTTTCAAAAAGGCCTCCCGTGCCTGTCTGTCCTGCCTCCTGGCTTGCGGTTAGCATCAAAATGACACCATAAAAATGAAAGTTGCAGCCTTGAGGGTTCTTCTGGTTTCATTTCCGACCGCAAGGTTGCCAGAGTGACTTTTTTTTTTAAGTAACACAAATCAGTTATCACTTCCTGCTTAAAGCCCTCCAAAGGCTCTCTGTTGCCTAAAGTATAAACTCTAGGCACCTAAGCAAGGCCCCGCGCAGCCGTCTGCATTTTTCAATCCCTCCAACCTCGCCTTTTGCTATTTCCCCCACCCCACCTACGGCACGTTCCAGTCATAACCAACCAGCTCCTCGCTGACAAACTGGCTCACACCGCGGAAGCCCGGGTGGGTGTCGGGGCGAGCCTTCCCTCCTTCGCCTGGAGGAGTCCGGCTCAGGTCTGTAGGCCTCAGGAGGGACTGCGGGGCTCGTTCCCTGCTGGCGTTCATTTAGGTAACCTGTTTACCTCCAGTGGACTTCTAAGTCCCTTTCATGATTTTTCATCTTCCAAAATCAAATCATGGCCCAGCCTAACTTAGCTATAATGCCATGAAAAGAATCTCTGAGCCTCAGTTTCCTTATCTGCAAAAAGGGCCCAGGAACCGCTCGTTAGGGTCGGTGTGGTGCCTGGAGAGTGCACTGCAAGGCCCGGGGTCCGCAGCGGGTGCCCAACTCTGGGGGCGGGGCGGCAGGGCAGCTCAGGAGGGAGGTTCTCCAGAGGGAACCCCTTAGGGATTTGGGGGCAGGGAAGGGGACAGGCAGGGCTTTCCCGAAGTCCGTCTAATCCCGCTGGCTGAGAGCGCGGCAGGTGGGACCCCAGGATGTCCGCTCGGCGGGGCGACCCCGGCCACCCCCGAGACCAGGGCTTTCCCCGTCCGGCCGCCACGCCCGCGCGCGGCCTCCAGCCACCCCGAAACTCCGGCCTGGTCACCACAGAGCAAATTACCGGAGTGGAGCCTGACTGCGCGCTGGGCATGCGCGGGCAGCGGCGCGCATGCCCAGTCCCCTCGAGAGGCGGAAACTTCTGACGGAGACGGGGCCGGGCGTGCGCTGCCGAGGGAGGGCGCGCGCCTCAGCCGGCTGCCGCGCACGCGCGCGGGCCCGCGCCGACGCAGCACGGCCCCGAGGGCGCGAGCCCGCGCCGCCGCAGCCGCCGCCGCCGGGCCGGGACCGCTGTGCGCCCGCGGCGTGAGGCGTGGGAGGTAGCGCGGTTGCCGTCGCCCGGCGCCGCCCCGTCGTCGTCTGCCTTAGCCTCACGGCGCCCAGCCGCGATCCGAGTGAGTGCGGGGTGCGGGGTGCGGGGCGCGGGGTGCGGGGCGCGGGGCGCGGGCCGGGGGCTGGGCGGGCTTCTTCGGTGCAGCGGTCGTGGGCTGGGCCGCGGCCCTGAGGGCGGAGGGGCAGAGCGGGGCCGCCCAGCCAGTCCCGGGGCGGATGCAGCGGAGACCGGCCCCTCCCGCGCCCCCGGTCCCAGTTCTGGGAGGAGGGGAGGCCGGTGACCGTGAGGAGGTTGGGGCGCCCGCGGAGGCCGAGAGGCTCCGAGAGGCTCAGAGGCTTAAGGAGGTCAGGGGGCGCGCGCTGGGAGGCGGGAGCTTGGGGCGCTGGGTGGTCGGGAGGCTTGGGGAAAACTGGGCGGCTGAGGGACATGGGGAGGCGGGGGCTCGAGGAGGTCGGGGATTCCGGGGGCGCGCGGGGAGGCCAAGAGGTTCGGGGAAGACAGAAAGGCTGCGGGACGTGGGGAGTCCGGGGGACGTGAGGAGGATGGGGGGGCGACTTTCGAAAAGGCCGGACTTGCGGAGAGGCCGAGGGGCCTGAGGAAGAGGAGGCGGCCGGGGCTCGGGGGGCGCGCAGGGCTGCCAGAGGCGGAGGACGGACCGAATGCCTGAAAAACAAAAGGGGAGAGGCAGGAGGAGGAAGAGGGAAATCGCGGGGACGCCGGCAGGGTTCGGCCGGACGCGAGAGGGAGGCTCGCGACGGCCCGACCGGGCTCCGGGCGCGGCCCCGCGAGCAGCCAAGGGTGGGCTCCGAGCGGCCTGCCGGTGCCGGAGCTCCAAGCCCGCCGTGTGCCCGAACGCAAACCCTCAAGTTTGATAGAGCCCCGTGGGTTTCTTGGCGGGAGCCCTGGAGCCCTCACTGGAGTCCTCACTGGAGTCTTTGTGCCTCCCAAGTTTCCTCCTCTTCTCCGCCCCCAGCCCCCGACTCTGCCGCGGTGGCTTAGGCGCAACTGTTAGCCGAATTTCTGTCTGGGTTCCTTGTGTAGCGGCATCCTGTTCTTTCTTAGAAGGTGGTGTGTGTGTGTGTGAATTGGTTTCATTTAATTGCAGGATTTTGTAGCTAAAATCAGTGAGGGTAAATTTCCCCCCCCCCCCCGAGTCATTTCAACAGTGTCTCATTCTTGTATAGTTAGCCTGCAGCTGGGATTTTGGCAATGAGACTAAGATAATAGTAATATTGTAGTAATTATGGGAACTGGTTATACATTCAAGCTGAAAGCTGAAGGCAGTGCAAGAGTTTGGAGATTTGTATTTATTTAAGACTTAACCATCGCTGGGATTTTTACTTAGAATATAAACGTTTTCATGGCCGGAAAAACAGACCACTACTATATGAAATGAAATACCAGAGCCTCAACCTTAAATTTTATTTGGGAAACGGGTAATGAAAATGATGTCTTCGAGAGTTGAGCACTCTGTCCCATGTTTGAAAACTTCTGAACAGTCGGATGCAAGCACACGGATGTAGTTAAAAGACACATAAAAGTAAATAGCATTCAACGTATTTTTGTTGGGGTACAGTATAGGTAATATTTTCATGCAGTTATACTAGTCAGTTAATTGGAAAAGCCCTATGACATTCAAACAAGGAACATTTTAAGGATGTTTTTGTCCCAGTATCTTTGTGTTTTGTATTTGTGGTTGTCCTTGGAGGGGAAAAATAGGCTGAACCTACCATCACTTTGAACCTTCTTGTTTATTAAAGTGCAGAGACATCAAAGTCAATATTATAACGTTTTCCTTTAAAAAATTTCAGGTCACTATCAAATAATCTAGTTTAATAATGAACACAGGCAAAGATTATTTAAAACACATGTTTCCTTTTAAGAGCCCACAATCACCTAAGACTTCAGTGTAGACGCTGATTAGGAGGACACATAACATCATTAAGTGGTGGTGCATCAAGAAGCAAGTCATTGGGTAAATAAAGACATGGAAATCAAAACTCCGTGTTTACGATTTGGGGCAAAGAATACTGGGGCAAACTCTGAGAGGAGACGGGACCTAAAAAGCCTTATTCTTTGAGGCTGGAAGCCCACTGAAAGTGAATAATGTTAGATTAGGAGTGAAGTTCCATGAATCCAGCAGTGAAATTGTGAGGAGGCAGTGAGGATCATTAAAACGTTTTATACTAAAATGTTTTTTGAAAAGCACCATGTTTCTTGATGGAAATTACATAACTTACTCTCTCAGTCCTCAAAACCATGTTCTCCAGCTAGTCAGATGTGTGTTCTTTTAGGGAGTTGGAGAAATCGTCTAAGAAAATCCTATTGTTAAAGCTACCCTCCTTAAAAAAAAAAAGATTGGGTCCTGTAGAGGAAATTATTTATATTGTATTCTATAATGTAAAAAATAATTTTGAAAACTGTCCTTTCCTGAACGTTGATTTGAGTTAGAAAGGTAGGATCTTAGTTCATATCTCTAAAGGTTATGGAAACCTTTTTCCCTTTGTATTTTGTGATGTCTTAATTTTTAGAAAATAATTAAAATTATCTTAAGAGTTACAAAAGATGCATTTCAAAGTGTTAATATAAAATTTTAGTTTTTAAATTTAACATTTTCAGTTTAGGTATTCTAAACTGATGTTGATTTAGACCTCGATCAATTCTTGTTTTAAATTTCAGTAACATTAAAAGTTATACTATTTTTATCATATTTGAAGTGAATTTTTCTTTTTTGCTAGTGAAAAACATCTGAGAAAAGTTTAGTTCCTGTAGTACAGGCATATCTTGGTTTGTTTCTAGACCACTGCAATAAAATGAGTCACACACATTGATTTCCCAGTGCATATAAAACTTTTGTTTACACTATACTGTAGTAAGTGTGCAGTAACATGTCTAAAAAAGCAATGTACAGTTCTTTTTTTTGAGACAAGGTCTTGTTCTGTCACCCAGGCTGGAGTGCAGTGGTGCAGTCATAGCTCACTGCAACGTGGACCTCCTGGGCTCAAGTGATCCTCCCACCTCAGCCTCCTGAGTAGCTGGCACTATACATGCACACCACTACTCCCAGCTGATTTTTACATTTTTTGTAGAGATGGGGTCTCCCTATGTTGCACAAGTTGGTCTTGAACTCCTGGGCTCAAGTGATCCTCCTACCTCGGCCTCCCAAAGTGCTGGGATTGCAGGCGTGAGTCACTGTGCCCAGCTAATGTACATGACCTACTTAAATACTATCGGTCATCTGAGCCTTCAGCAAATCATCATCTTTTTGCTGGTGGATGGTCTTCCCTCAGTGGTGATGGCTGCTGACAAATCAGGGTGGTGGTTACTGGAGACTGAAATGTCTGGCAGTTTCTTAAGATAACAATTAGGTTTGCCACATCAATTGACTCTTCCTTTCATTAAAGATTTCTCCGGAGTATGTGATGCTATTTGAAAGCATTTTATCCACAGCAGAACTTCTTTCAAAATTGAACTCAGTACTCCCAAACACTGCCATTGCTTTATCAATAAGTGTATGCAATATTCTAGATCCTTTGTTGTCATTTCAACAGTGTTCACAGTATCTTCACCAGGGGTAGATTCCATTTCAGGAAACCACTTTCTTTCCTCATCCCTAAGAAGGAACTCCTTATCCGTTCAAGTTTTATTATGAGATTGCAGCAATTCAGTCACATCTTCAGGTTCCACTTCTAATTCTAGTTCTCTTGCTGTTTCTACCATATTTGCATTTACTTTCTCTACTGAAAACGCGAATCCCTCAGAGTTATCCATGACAGTTGGAAGCAAGGTCTTCCAAACTCCTGTTCATAATGCTATTTTCACCTCCTCCCATGTATCACGAATGTTAATGGCATCTAGAATGGTGAATCCTTTCCAGGATGTTTTCGATGTACTTACCCAGATCCATCAGAGGAATCACTATCTATGGCAGCTCTACCGTTATGAAACATATTTCTTTTAAGACTTAAAAGTCAAAGTGACTTCCTAATCTATGGGCTGCAGAATGGATGTGGTGTTAACAAGCATGAAAACCTTATTCCTCTCCTTGTCCATCTCTCTCAGAGCTCTTGGGCAACAGGTACTTTGCCAATGAACCGTAATATTTTGATAGGAATTTTTCTGAGCAGTAGATCTCAACAGTGGGCTTAAAATATTCAGTAAACCATGCTGTAAACAGATGTGCTGTCATCCAGGCTTTGTTATTCCATTTGTAGCGCAGAGGCAGAGTAGAATTAACATTGTTCTTAAGGACCCTGGGATTTTCAGAATGGGAAGCTAACATTGGCTTTAACTTGAAATCACCAGCTGCCTCAGCCCCTAACGAGAGTCAGCCTGTCCTCTGAAGCTTTAAAGCCAGACATTGGCTTCATCTCTCTGGCTATGAAAGTCTTAGATGGCATCTTCCAATAGAAGGTGGTTTCTTTCTTCATTTAAAATGTGTTGTTTAGTGTAGCCACCTTCATCAGTGATCTTAGCTAGATCTTCTAGATAACTTGCTGCAGATTCTCCACCAGCACTTGCTGCTTCATCTTGCAATTTTATGCTGTGGAGATGGCTTTTTTCCTTCAACCTCATGAACCAACCTCTGCTAGCTTCCAGCTTTTCTTCTGTAGCTTCCGCATGTCAATTTACAGAATTGAATAGGAACTTTCTCTGAATTAGGCTTTGGGTCAAGGGAATGTTATGGCTGGCTTGATCTATCTGGACCACTAAAACTTTCTCTATACCAACAATAAGGCTGTTTTCTTCACCTTTAAAAAAAAATTTTTTTTTTGAGACACAGTCTCACTCTGTCACCCAGACTGGACTGCAGTGCAGTGGCGTGATCTTGGCTCACTGCAGCCTCCGCCTCACGGGTTGAAGTGACTCTGGGGTCTCAGCCTCCTGAGTAGCTGGGATTACAGGTGTGAACCACTGCGCCTGGCCAGGGCTGTTTTACACTCTTGTCATTTGTGTGTTCACTGAAGTACCACTTTTAATTCCCTTCAATAACTTTTCCTTTGCATTCACAACTTGGCTGTTTGGCACAAGAGGCCTCACTTTTGGCCTATCTTGTTTATT